AGGGCAGTCTGACAGTGTGAATTGGCCGTAACGGCGCAGGAGTCAGTACGTTCGGGATGTGAGGGACTGTCCTTCGGTCGGCGTCGACGCAGCCGCTCGTGTCGCGCAACAGGTCAGATTGCGCGGTTTCGTCCGTTTAAAACAAAGCTCAGCAAGGGTTATCTGGCAGGCGCGATACATGGGTAATACAAGATAATCAACGCCATGGACGTCAGGCTGGTGTGGTCGGTAGCGCGTTCGCCTGCCGTCAGCTCGCTTTCCCGTCGGAGTGAGCGCTCAAAAAAATAGGTGCAATCGAGGCGAACTTGCAGGCAATGATAGACGGGCAACAAATATTGACATCACTTACTGAGGGATAAGCAGTCCTTAAGTAGGAACAAAGCGGGGGGAAAACGTGCAGCAAGAAAACGAAACGGTATCATAATAAACAGGTGTAAGTCATGTTACTCATGAGTAGTCAGAAAACAAGGAAAGTTACCCTTGTTCACCGTTGATTCACAGGGGGAATCAACACTAGCTATGAATATTCTTCTATGATAGGAAGCGTATCTATTACAAAATCGCCAGTAAAAATTCATCTGCGCTGGTTTTTCAAAAGGTCTCATAAAATCATCAGGGTGGAGATGATCTGGAGGAGAATTCACTGAAGCCCCGTCAGCTTGTTGGTAAAGCCTAACACTATCCTCTTTATTTGTGCATAATTACGTACTCTCGATTTATGGTAACTTTCTCCTAGCAAAAGATGAGTTGTTTCCAAGGATATCTCAGAGCTCCACCTTAAAGCACGACCCACAACAAGGTCCGAGCAAAAGGCCATCCAGTTTTCTTTCCCATAGACTACTAGGATATCCAGTAGTTCAACTCCAGTCTTAACTGCTGACAGCCATGACTTCAGTTTCCATCAGGTGCAACAGCGCAGAGGAGCTGGGCTACGGTGCAGAGAGAGTTTGGGCAGTTTAGAGTCTAGTTTGTGGTATGCGTGTTCCAACCACTCTAGTCTGCGTCACTGGATCAATTTGAAAAAAGCATAGAATATCATAGCAGCAGTTTCTGTGACCACCACCGGGTCCCATGTCCTTCAACAATACTTTGAGTATTTACTTTAAAAACCGGTAGTTGAATACTTTGAATACGCGGTGATCAACGGCTCAGGGAGACCAGGTTTCACGGTCGCAGAATACGCTTGGAAGATTGTCCGAAGGCTGGTTGCTGAGCGCTTCTTTTCAGCGATCTAAGACCACGTAAAGATTTGTTCAACGCTGTTGTTGTGAAAAATTATTCTTTGCCATACTTGACCATCTGAAAAGGCTATGGAGACGAGCAAGATGCCGAATACACGGAGGAACCTGGCTAATTTAAGGGTTCTCCGTTAACACCAGATAGGATAGAATGGCTGTCCATGCCCCTGGTAGTGAGATTAGTCTTTCCAGAATATAAGTTTCAACTGAGCCATTAAAGCGTAGCATCACGTGCCAAAAAGCATAGGCGGTATTCATGCCTGATCTTTACTCAGGAAGGTGATATCACCATTATAAGCAAAACCATTGATCCATGTAGTAGGTTCATTGGCAACACAGGGAAGTCGCTAATGGTATGCAGAATTGTAAAATCGTTCGAGAAATTAAAAAAAACTGTCGAAAGTCAGCAATCCTGACAAATACCAGAGTTCAGAACAGATGCTATGGTCTGTCTGCCATAAAACTGGACACAGGATTTAGTGCGTGAGTGTTAGACTGAAGTGACTCAGCAGCCTTTGTGGCACGCCTCCAGCTCTATAGACGGAACAGAAGTATTCCGTTTTGATTGAGTTTAACTATCC